TAGGAGGCGAGGGTGGGCTCGCGGGCGGGGAGGAGGCAGCAGCTGCAGGGTGGTGGCGGGGTAGCGGGGTCTTGGTGGGCAGCAGGAGTGGGAGGGGGGACGGCGTCAATGAGACGCACGTGGCAAGCAAGCACCTGTGGCGAGCAGCCTGTCGGGATGTTATTACACCTGCCAAGTGGTGTCTCCAGAAACAAAAGAGGCCCTCTTCTAATTCTTCAGCTGTGTGCAATGTTTGGAAAAACATTATACCAGGAAATCATCCTGCCTAAATGGGGCAGTCCTCACAGGCAGGACGTGTGGACTGATCCTACGGCCTGGGAGTGACCTGGGAGCTGAAAATCCAGATTCCTGGGTCTCTCCCTCCCCAAAACTACTCGATCAGAAAACCACGTTTTTAGCCAACACCCCAAAGGGGTGTTAAGACTTGAGGGCCACGAACTTCTCTCCAGTGAATAGGGACGATCCTCCTGTGAAGGCCTAGCAGCCTCCTGTCCATGGCCGCCAATGGGACCAGGGTGGACATGGCGATCGAATTCTCCACTGGGCAAAGAAAACACTAGAAACAGCAGGACAAGACAATAGACAATGAAGTGCCAAAGTGGGCAGTTCAAATCCCAGGCACTGTGGGAGGTCACTGACAGCAAAGAGAAATTCCTGTGGGAGGGGAATATTATCCACAATAAATATTTGCTGAGGCTTATTCTCTGCAGGACATCTCTTTTCCGGAAGTGCTGGGCCTGGTTCCGCGAGTCCCTGAAGGTAAGATGAGGGTCTACCATGCACATGACACCCACTGTGTGGTCAGGCAGGGTCAAGCAGGCAGCACTGGAAGGAGCCCGAATCACAGAGTTAGACCTGAATTCACTTTGCGTTCTGCCACTTGTGGCCTGGGGCACATTATTTAACCTCTGTAAGCGGACATGTTAACATACACACCTCCTGGGCCTGTGAAAGTAAAATGAGCGTGTGTGTCCAGCAGAACTGTGCTTAGAATATAGTACATTTTAGATTACAAAAGGCCCATTTCTGGGAAGCAGGGGTTGCCTACAACATCTGGGCAGAGAAGATAGATAAAAGGTTGGGAACAGCTGGGTGTGGTGGCTCATTCCTATAATCCCAGCACTTTGGGAGGCTGAGGTGAGAGGATTGCATGAGCCCATGGGTTCGAGTCCAACCTGGGCAACATGGCGAGACCTCGTCTCTATAATAAATAAAAAATTTAGCTGGGCGTGGTGGCACACACCTGTAGTTCCAGCTATTTGGAAGGCTGAGGTGGAAGGCTCGACCAAGCCCAGCAGGTGGAGGCCGCAGTGACCACAAGCATGCCACTCCATTTCAGCCTGGGTGATCGAGTGAGATTCCAACTCAAAAGTTTGGGAGCAAGGTGATGCATATCAAATGTTGAGTGGAAGCCAGGCTCGGTGGCTCAGCCTGTAATCCTGCGCCTTGGGAGGCTGAGG